ATTTATTATAGTAGATGGTATAGTCGCATGGCATAGGTACCGGTTAAAATTGTTATAGTAGATGGTACAGCCACTTGGCATAGGTACCGGTTAAATTTGTTATAGTAGATGGTACAGCCGTATGGCATAGGTACCTGTTAAATTTGTTATAGCAGATGGTACAGCCGCATGGCATAGGTACCGGTTAAATTTGTTATAGTAGATGGTACAGCCACTTGGCATAGGTACCGGTTAAATTTGTTATAGTAGATGGTACAGCCGCATGGCATAGGTACCGGTTAAATTTGTTATAGTAGATGGTACAGCCGCATGGCATAGGTACCGGTTAAATTTGTTACAGTAGATGGTACAGCCGCATGGCATAGGTACCGGTTAAAGTACAGCTGTTATGGCATTTGTACTGTACAGTGGGAGATTGTCTAATAGTTGGTACAGCCGCATGGCACAGGTACCTAAGCGGAGTACAGCTGTTATGGCGCTTGTACTGCGCAATGGGAGATTGTGCAGTAGATGGTACAGACGCATGGCACAGGTACCAATTTGGAGTGCAGCTATTATGGCGTTTGTACTGTGCAATGTGAGATTGAAGACTTAATATTTGCACCAACCCATCTCTCAATGTCACTGTCCAAGAGAAAGAATGACCAGTTCCGAGAAGGATCGCAAGTTCTCATTGCTCGGTCAGACGATAGCCCCTGCCCAGTAGGGGTGGTCGAAAAATTTCTGGCACAAGGGGGGGGGGGGCATGATCCGAAGACCACGCTTTGGAGACAAATCCAGCAGACAAAGAGTGGATGCAAACTCCGCAGGGAGCCGATGTCATACAGTAGGGCTAACCAGTTGTTCAAAAACGAGTTAAAGACGGAAGGTCTCGACCCAAAGTGTTATGGGCTGCATAGTCTACATGCATAGTCTGGTGGTGCATCGACAGCAGCGGCAATGTATATTCCTGATAGACTGCTTCAGAGACAAGGGGGTTGGCACAGTGCCAGGGCGAAGAACAATTATATTGACGAGTCTGTTAACTCTTTATTGCTTGTTACTAGGTCTATGCGGAGTGCATACATTACTAGCTCTATCGTTGTCAGTTGCGGCGGACGGCTGCAGCAGCTCCCAGCAGTGTGTGAGAAGTGTTATTTTCTGCTGGCTGAGGTACGAAAGAAGCAGAAAATGTTTTCTCACACAAGGCTGGGAGCCCGATTGTGAATCGGGTGTGTTCGGGTGGTGCAGGTTAAGACAGCACATGTTGTTGTTGCTTCCGCAACGCTTGACATAAATCCCCACCCGCCCGCCCGTTAATTATAGTCAGTTAGCTTGTTAGATGCAGTGGACGTTTATATAACTTATTAGTAATTGTAACTCCTCAGTAATTTTTATGTAAATAACGTAATTATGTTGCAGAGCTATGTATGATTAGCTGTGTTAGCTGTTATTGTGTAAATAAAAGTCAAGCTTGCGGCGGACGGCTGCAGCAGCTCCCAGCAGTGTGTGAGAAGCCATTTTCAAAAATAATGAATAATGAAAAATTTTCGTGTGGCAGATAAATCCCATGCAGGCGGGGATGAGAAACATGATATCAATTTTCATTGGCCTAAATACTAAAAGTCACATGATCGATATCTTCACTAGTGAAGATATGGAAAATATGACACTGTGTATTTCTCAGGAAAATATGTCACATGTATTTCTCTACTATATAATAAATAAATTTATATATATTCATTTTATATTTAACAAATATAAAACATTTTCCGTGTTGATATACAGTTATATCAACACGAGTGGGAATTGGGGAACAAGAAATTTCCACGAGTGTTAATGATATAACTGTATATCAATGCAGAAAAAATGTTTTATATTTTTATAATATAGCACAAAGAAATATAAAGAAAGAAATTTTCTGATGTTTCCATATTGACATCGAGTTATATGAACACAACTCTTAGCGTTGTGTGCAGTGTTCAGAATTTACAAATGCTATATTATACATACTATTACAGTACATGCTTAATTGTTTTTTAGTGTTAAAAAAATGGAAGAATTGAGTGATTCATTGGCATCCTCGTTTCAGATTTCTAACAATCCAAATGATGTATCAAGCCCCCATCCCAGGTAAAAATAATATATTTTAAAGTATAATTTCTAAAATGTATGGTACAACCTAAGGTGTGGCAGTTACAATTGTAAACCAAAAAAAAAATTAAAAACAGATTTAACCAATGTTTTTGTGCAAAAACCTAGGAGTTGGAAATCCAAAAAATATACAATTACTCAGTGTTGAATCTTTTATTAGACTACAGTATGTTCAATTTTGCATTGCAGTTTCATTTTTATGAGAACTGCCTCAATCTAGTACAATCCTTATTAATTGGCACTTAAGATTATACATTGGACTCCTTAGGTTGTCAGAATACAAAATCAAACCAAGTAATGTTCCAGACCAGGAAACAAGAAGAAAGCGGATACTAGAAGAGCAGAAAAGGTTTGTCATCACAGATTGATGGTGCTTCTTCAAGCGACTGTTCATATATGTACTGAAATATAGTCAGTACCTCTTCCCTCTCTAGTATTCCATCTCTCCCGAAGAAATTTGGTGTCTGTTGACCTCTTAGGCATAAAAAAATACCTGTGGTTCCTGTTTCATATCATGAAAAAATTAGGGTCGGTAGGTCGGAAATAAATTTTTTTTTTAATAATATTTTCATGGTTTTGGCGTTTTTCATGGTTTTGGCGTTTTTCATGGTTTTGGCGTTTTTCATGGTTTTGGCGCATGGTAACAATTTCCGCAAGTAATACAAATATACTGAAAATATGCAAACTTTGCAAGGCTATATTTTCTGTATTTTACAACATTTCACAACCAAAGTTTGCAATTTTACTGATTTCATTGTGTTCTTGTGTTCATTTTAACTATTGTGTTTGATTCCCTTCTCTTTACTTAGATTAACATTTAGTCTAACATGCAATTAGTTGTCCATTGCTTCATGGACAATTTTTGCCTCAAATGTTTACCTGAGTTTTCTATGTTGTTTATAGCCGTCGACATGATCGTGTAAACTTTGCACGAAGATTGGTGGAAGAAGATGACATGGAAATTGTGGAAGACCAGCCCAAGGTTTGTCTCACATTCCGAAAACTGTTAAGGTGGCTCCCTACAGTTATTCTTGTTTAAGCAATAATTCCGTAAAACAGGCTTATTCGTGCAGAGCGCGAATTCTGTTCGACTTGGTGGCAATATTGGTCACCTAAGGAATATTTCAAACTAGATTTCGACAATGTCAATGTTCCCATGGCAACATGACGACAGCATAAAGCCTTCCAATTTAACCCATAAATGTGCCGCTATGTCAAAAACGATGTTGGTGACCTATCTTTTTTATTTCATATATCAATAGGGAATGACGCTCTGCAACTGTGGTGAAAGTTTAAAAAAATTCTGTAGTGTGTGATTTTTTTAAAAGCGAAAATTTTATTGCGAAAATTTCCACACTACAGATTTTTTTAAAAATTGAAATTTATAAAATTTACCGCAAAATAAATTCGTGGTCAAAATTTGAAGATAGGTCACCGATGAAACTAATGAGTACAATGCAAATAAAGTTAGAAAATAGCCTCGTGTAACTCGAGAAATTCCCCTATTGAAAAGCGTCGCTGACTAGTAAAAGATTGTACGCAGGCGCAGAACGAGTTTTCATTCAGCAAAATCGAGCCGCAATGTTGTTTTTACTGTTTTGTTTTTGTCAACTTTTCGATCTATTTGAGTGCTATGGACAGCCAAGGATTATTGTGAAGGATTAAATCGATGAAAACAAGGTTGAAGCTAATTGAATCCTGTCGTTTACTCAATCTATGAGCTGTAACAGCCTATTAACAGGTGGACGTGTTTTTTTGTTTCATGCTTGGTTTTGTACTTTTTGCTATTAAAAATGAACAATATTAGGCTATGAAACTGAAATATTTTCTGCTTACATATAATCACTTTGATCTTGTAGAAACACGACTAAAAACGTGAACGTTTTCCTGAGAAGTAAACTAACTTTTTTAACGTTTGTATGCAATTTTGCAAATGTTTTACAGTTGAGTCAGTTGACAGTGTATAAAAATTTGTTTCGTAGCTATTTTTGGTCTAGTGATATTCGCATCATATGTAGAACTGCTGTATAGACTCGCAAGTGATTTGGCACTCAAAACGAAGTATTATTCAACGCTTTTTTCCATTAGAAATAGCTTTATTTTGTAAAAAAAGCGTGGTCAATTTTTGTTTTGTTTTGATCATGCAGTTGCGTGGGATAGTTCGCGTACGCAACATCCCGCACGCAACTGTAGGGAGCCTCCTTAAGTGGAGTTTTTTTGTATGTTAGTCGTAATACACGCTCAAAACTAATGCGTATAAATATACCGCCTGAGGTTATGACTAAATTCAAAATTTTAGTTTTTCACTTATGTTTCTCAATCGGCAAACAAACTTAAAAAGTATGTTTAGTGCTTTATCTGTAAAATAATGCTAAAATGAAGAGGTTTTAGATGATATGCCAAAGAGAAAATAATGTCTGAAGTTCAGTAAGTTTTTCTTAATATATATGGCTGTAAATATGGCGTCAATTTTAAAGCATCATTGATAATTGTATTTTATTTGACAATTTTTAACTATTATTTTATGTTTCTCAACCGGCAGATGCATTTGAAATGGTTGCATGCTAACTCTGTAAACTAGAGAATTTAATAAAAGCTAAAACAAAGTAATTTTGAGAGGAATGCCAAAGAGGTTTTAGGTTTTGAACACTTTTCATTGCAAATACATGACATTGAAAAAAAATTGCCTCTTAACATTTTTAATTTGACGTTTCGACCAGCTTGCAGTCATCATCAGGCTTGGAGTTTTCAGGCTCGATGTTTTTATAGGGTCAGTGTTTTCCGGCTGCGGGGTTTCAGGCTGGAAGACAAGATTTGATACATCTCTTGATAATTTAACAATGTTTTGTTTTCCATTCTTTTGTTTGTAGAAGAAAACTTCAAATTGGAAAACGGCAAAGAATCCATTCAAAAACCAGCTAATGATGTCAGAATGGCTAGTAGATCTTCCTGCCAATTTTGAGCAAGAGTGGGTTATGGTTATATCACCGATTGGGAAAAGATGTTTAGTTGTGGCTTCCAGAGTGAGTAAGATCCTAAACTAGTAAACTAAACTAATAACCGGACTGAATATAGCTCTTGCAGTTCTAAATTGTTCTGTCTAGAGGTCCAGTAAGGATCACCCTTTAGCTTATTGGTTAAGTGTTTGTTAAGCCCTGGGCAAACCAGGAAACATTGTTGTGGAAACATTGTTTCCTTAACCAATGCTTCGCCATGTTTCTCAGAGTGGGCAAACACTAGGAAACATTAGTGAGAAACATAGGGGAACATCAAATGTTTCTGAAGTTTGTAGGAAACATTTTTGCTTACCGGGGAGCAAATTTTGTTTCCGCAACAATGTTTCCACAGGTGAGCAAACATGGAAACATTTGAGGAAACATCGAGAATCACAAATGTTTTCGCAACAGTGTTTCCTAGTTTGCCCTGGGCTTCACTACAGGATGGAAACATAATTACTTAACCCATTGAGTGGCAGCACTCTCCCCCTGATGAGTAAAATCATCTGACATTAGATAGAGTAAAATAATATAAAGTAGGGCACATCTGGGTGCATTGCCACTTTAAGGGTTAACAGGGGTGCATGGGCAGATACTCTGATTAACCCGTTGAGTGGCAGCACTGACTCCCTCTGATGAGTAAAATCATCTAGCATTACATAGAGTAAAATAATATAAAGTAGGGCACATCTGGGTGCATTGCCACTTTAAGGGTTAACAGGGGTGCATGGGCAGATACTCTGATTAACCCGTTGAGTGGCAGCACTGACTCCCTCTGATGAGTAAAATCATCTAGCATTACATAGAGTAAAATAATATAAAGTAGGGCACATCTGGGTGCATTGCCACTTTAAGGGTTAACAGGGGTGCATGGGCAGATACTCTGATTAACCCGTTGAGTGGCAGCACTGACTCCCTCTGATGAGTAAAATCATCTAGCATTACATAGAGTAAAATAATATAAAGTAGGGCACATCTGGGTGCATTGCCACTTTAAGGGTTAACAGGGGTGCATGGGCAGATACTCTGATTAACCCGTTGAGTGGCAGCACTGACTCCCTCTGATGAGTAAAATCATCTAGCATTACATAGAGTAAAATAATATAAAGTAGGGCACATCTGGGTGCATTGCCACTTTAAGGGTTAACAGGGGTGCATGGGCAGATACTCTGATTAACCCGTTGAGTGGCAGCACTGACTCCCCCTGACGAGTAAAATCGTCTAGTGTTAGACAGAGTAAACTACTAAAGTAGGGTGCATTGCCACTTACAGTCAAAATGGAAATACCTGCACACTTCAGTTACTGTAGCAGAGCCTGAAATAATTTTAAAATTTGTCCGGAAAAACTTCCGATCAAAACGAAATTTGACCGGAAATTTGCAAAATTGACCGGAATTTTTTTAGTTTAGTTTGAACAAACTCTGTCAAGCATGCAGACGTGCACTGAGTAAATCACTCTACTTGCAATAATAAAACACAAATGTTTAATTCTGAATTGCTTATTGGAATAGTTATAGTGAATAATAATTAATAATTTTTAAAACATTGTCTTTGAAAAACGAAGGAGTTAGATTCAGTTGTGAATTATTTCGGGCAATTGTTAATGCATGATATGTGTAAGGTAATTGTAACTGTAGCGAAAAGTTT